AAGTTTCTACCTTGAAGGATAGACAGGATAGATATCTGCACTGAAGATGAAGTTAGCACACACTAAATGTTAAGATTTGTGTGTCTATTGTTTCATTTTTCATTTCATTTAATTTTTATTATCATTCAACAATCCATACATACAGGTATTACAACCATTTGGATAGGGAAATTGTCAGTTTTACATCTAATTCTCGTGCATATCTTTACAGCATACACTGTACCACCCTAATATAGGGGGTTTGTCATCTGAATATTATCATTCATTCATTCATTCATTCATTCATTCATTCATCTAGATCTAGTTACCATTAATTTCATTGTCTTTACACAAATACAACAAATTAATCAGCTACATATTACATTTACACACTTGATGAATCGAAAGACATAAATTCATCTACAGAATAAAAGGAATGGGTAAAGAAAGCTGAGTTTCGTGGGATTGTTTGCCTAAATTTAGGAGAACCTACATGACTTAATCTTTACATCCCTGAAGGATAGCTGAATACACAATACTCTTTAGTTCAGTTATTTGATCTGTGTGTCTAACCGCCCTTATCCAATCAGCTGGCCGTAGTTTGCCACCCTTGATCTTGATTCTCCATAGTGAGCTGCTGTTAAGGGTTGTTAAATTTTTATTTGAGCTTCATATAACGTAGGGGTTATGTTTGTCCTATACTTTGCAGAATTCATTTAGTATGGGCTCCATGGCACCGAATATCATGAAAGGTGTGCGGCAAAACAGACAAAAGAGAAGACCTTCCTTCTGCATTAACTTTCTGCCCCTTGCATGTACAACGCATAGTAAGAGTAAGCTGCTCTTCTGAACCAGTTAGCATTCTCCTGTTTTAAGACCTTGCAGAATAATAAAGTAGGTGACAATATTCTCTCCCTGTTGGCTTGTGTGTAATGAAATTGTAAAGCGTTGAAGCAAGTGTCCATTGGATGAAGGCAATGTGTTGCAATGCACCACGGAAGCTGAAGAATCTCCATTGTTAAGATTCGTTAACAGGAAACAGCTAGTGAAAGCAGATTGAGAACACTTAGCTTGCAGTGATTTGTAAAGTGTGGAGATTAGCCATAGCGTTTAATTGCTTGTAGTTCCGGGTCATGTGTTTAGGTAGTCAGCAAATCCATTCACCAATTCAAACCCCGTCTATAGTCACACCCATAAATCGTGACAATATATAAATTCGTTTGTTAAAATGTGATGTTATATAGAAGGTATGAAAGTACATAAGATGTAATTAAGATTGGTCGGAACAGATTCAGTTTTCTTACAAGACTAGAACAAGATATAAAGTCATATTTTTCAGGTTTAGAAGGAATTCGGCACAACTAATTTCCCCGTTTACTCTTTGTTTGTCTGCTTTTATTTCAGTCTACGCAATTCTGAAATTTTCTTTTATGTCGTTAGGGGAATCTTCTGATGCTTGGAAGGACAAATGAAGTTAATCTCAAAACATATACAATGAACATTGAATTTAGATAAAAATATTATTAAAATTGAATTAAACCTCGCCCCTAATTTGAACTTTATGTGATTTAATTCAGTTTTTAAAGGTAAAAGTAAAGTTGTCCCTGTGCCTAACTAATTAAAGATTATAACATGAAGACGTATGGGGGAGTGGATATATAGATCCACCTCTTATTGACCCCGGCACTAGTTGGATGTGAGTGGTCAGCTTCACGCCCCGGTCACTTTACCCACGGGGAAATATCCCCCGATACCCATTGGATAAGAGGCTGGGAGGGCCCCAGAGCCAGTCTGGACGACACGGAGAAGTGAACATTTTTTACCCTACCGGGACTCGAACTCGGACCCCTCGGTCTTCCAACCATAACCAGTCGCTATACCAACTACGCTATCCCGGCTCTCTTAGTTCCTGAGTACCTCAAATTATGACGTAACAGCTTCCTTAACTCCCTTTCTTGTTCATTATTTACTAAGCATCGTAACATTCGAATGTACGTGTAGGTAGTCTGAACCACTAGCGAACAAACCATGCACGGGACTATGAGCACATAAATAAACAACACAACACGTGTCGTTACTGAAAAATTGAGAAGCCAGTCACATATATTCTGAATCCATATATTGACGTCAGAAGTAGCGGCCAGGGGAAGGGAGCAGAGGAGAACAGAACAGGCATTCACGTTCGTCTTACCCATGAAATGCACAGTATCATTCAGTGTTGTCCCCCGCAGTCTCGGTCCCCACATATTTAATATTCTCCAGGTGTTTGAACATACCTGTGGCATGTATCCTATCCTGGGTCCAGGCACCCCACTGCCCCTAGAGCCTGGTTTACCACCCAGGACCCAGACATCCCCGGAGTTTAGTTGTTTGCGTCCCACAACGCAACTCAGTAATGTAGTCTTTCCACAGCCACTTGCTCCGAGAAGCCCATAACTGCAAAATCACAAATTGGTTGACTTCAGTGATGAAATGACATTGGAATTCATTATATGAGATCTGTGGTTGTCGTAGTATTCTGGGTTATTACCTATCAGAATACACAGTTCCGTAACTCGATGTCCACGAGTAGTGGAATTCCTGTTCGTTGTGCATGTATCTTGCGATTTTGCTTATCTCAATGGCCTCCATCCTAATTTATTGCAGATACAAATGTACTTTTACAAATGTAACCACACCGCACTCTTTGACGAGTCTTAAATGGTCTATTTAAAATGTTCCCCTTTAATTTTGTAATTAGAAACGGTGTATTCCATAACNTTTTTAAATGAAGTGTGATTTCGAATATTTCGAATATAAGCCGCACCCAGTTTTCCTCTTGAATTTTTGGCAAAAAATGTGCGGCCTATACATGCGTAAATACGGTATCTGGGATCCTTTGTTCCGCGCCGGCCGCCCTTTACCCTCAAGAATATTACAAGAATATTCCTGTTACTCATTTCTGTTAGAGGCCGAGTCGACCCCAGGGCCATAGTGCGGCTGGAAGGATTAGGTGAATTGAAAAAATCCAATGGCCTAATCGTGATTTGAACCCGCGACCTTCCGGCTTACAACATAGTGCCTCAACCAACTACGCTACCGCGTGCCACAACGTGCTGTACAAAATTTACAATGGCGTTTTTTTTTCGGTGTACTAACTATACTAGGGGGCACGAGGTAGCGTAGTTGAATGAGACACTATGCTACAAGCCGGAAGGTCGCGGGTTCAAGTCCCGATCAGGTCATTGGATTTTTTCAATTAACCTAATCCTTCCAGCCGCACTATGGCCCTGGGGTCGACTCGGCCTCTAACAGAAATGAGTAACAGGAATATTCTTGTAATATTCTTGAGGGTAAAGGGCGGCCGGCGCGGAACAAAGGATCCCAGATACCGTATTTACGCATGTATAGGCCGCACATTTTTTGCCAAAAATTCAAGAGGAAAACTGGGTGCGGCTTATATTCGAAATATTCGAAATCACACTTCATTTAAAAAAAATTATATTCATAATTAGTAATACAGGGTGTAATACTCCTGAAATAATATTCCAAGAAAATTATTTTTTCTATAATTTCTGTCTGAAAATTGTGCTGCGGCCTATACACGCACGCGGCCTATACATGCGTAAATACGGTATATGTGACCTCCCAACTGAATACACATTCACATTAGCTGCAAATTTGTTAAGTCGCTTCACATTTAATTTCAAGTACGTGTTTTCTGGGGTTTGTTCAGTATTTCTGTTTTTTAACACCAAAACAAATAACCCTAGAAGGATTTCATAACATGCACACAGCCACTGTATTTGCAGTTCATTGTGTAAGACTCTCTTACTGTGGCACTGAATAGACTCAAACCCGGCGCAACAGCTACAGATAATTAGTTATTAATTCCTCATAAATGACTTTCTGAACATTGCAGTCTTCCGGGATGTGATATCGTGTAATTTGGCATTACATAGATTCAAACGTTTCGGAAGGGCCTGTTGCTTTCATCTTCATGAGAGATTAAGTCATTCTATTACGATAAAAATGGAAGCAGCAGATTTCTGCGAGTAGTTGGTACTTCCTATGCAAAATTACATGCCAACACGTTCTAGAAGAGTGTAATAGACGCCACAATGAAAAACTCAACTTCAAAATACATTTCTGGCTTAACAGCTATGGAGACAATCAATATCTGCCCCATGTCCATGGATGTTCAATTGTTTTATACTTTTTTAAATTGCTCCAGTAAATAGAATGGAACTCAAGTACATATAAATGTAATTAAAGTTATATATTTGAAGTTTTCATCTGAAGATAGAGACGGTACGATCTTCCGAAACGTCGGTTTACGCAGGATCTACATGGCGCCACATGCCAGAAGACGGTATTCTTCATAGTCACCGCCGTGAAAACCTCAAACCTTACATAGTGTTCCTCTATGGGGAGGCTACTCAAAGTTATTTTTGATTACTCATTTTCACACAAAAATATTATTAAAATGAGCTGTATGTCTTATCTGTTCGCCTTCATACCTTTAATGCTTATATAGTAAGGGACTGCCCTTTGGTGTTTGTAAAACACCTAGTAAGCGCGAGATTTATCATTGTCACTACGCAATTTCCGGTTGTCAAGCAATGGACTGCCGAGAGTTAAGGGCGCGTACACACTAGCGAGCTGTTGCATGTAACGTAACGGTTACTGTAACCACATTCTGTTAGTGTGGACGCCTTGCGAACCACGCTCGCGAACGTACTTCGAGCGCACCTGTAACACGACCGGCGAGCCACTGCCTTGTCGGTTTTTGCTGCGAACACAAAGGGGCTCGTGGACGCCACACTCGCTTGCTCGTAAATGTGTACGTTTCCTCCGAACCAGGAGTAGAGTTGCGAATCGCTATGGAGTGGGTCGAGGAGAAATGCCTGAATTTAATTGAAATCTACAGGAACAAACCGTTACTTTGGGACCCTAAAGATAGAAATTATTATAAGAGACACCTGAAAGACGATGCATGGGCTGAATACTTTGCTTGGATATACGGAATAGATACTGTAAACCTGTAAAAGAGTCCCCAGTCGCCAAGTATCTCAATGTCACAGCTAATCGATCTTGCACCGAAATCGCCTCTCTGAACTTAGTGTTCCTTTTCCGGATTCTAGGTCCAACCAGATTAATCAAATATTCGAAATCCGTTGGATTCAGGCGGGTGAAATTTTTGTAATGCCCACTAATTGTTTGCGATTTCAAATCCAAAAGTAAAGCAGGACCGCTTCTCTCTTTGTATAGTGCATGCTGCCAGAATCTTCGTGGGCGTTTATCGTCGTCAATTAAGTGGTGTATCGGGATATACGACGCACTAGCAATTAACTCAGGCGATAAGGAGGAAGACATGTCTTCACGGCGAGCTCACCACGAGCACTATGGATCAGGTCGCTCGCAGCGGGTAACGTGACGACTATGGACGTATCGTCCATACGAAGACGTGGTTACAGTAACCGTTACGTTACATGCAACAGCTCGCTAGTCTGTACCCGCCCTAACACGTTGCATGTACACGTAGATTACGTAGTAGGCCAAGAAACGAGCGAGCATACTTCTGTCTGAGGCTATTTCTGCGTGCTATTCGTGGTAGATGGTGTTTAACATGGTCTCGACCCATCATTCCATAACATGTAGGCCTGGAAAGGAATAGGGAAGAAAATGATAGACTTTCCACTGGTTTCTCAGCGGTTATCATGTTAAATTTCTATGAAGTGTTTAAATAGAAGAATTATTTTCATATGCATCTAACTTTCCTCTTCCACTAAATAATTCTCAAAGCTTGCAAGGTGGATGTACCTTGAATCGCCATTACGTGAGAGAAACAAAATAGTTTTTTCTAATTCTACGAAGATTAAGTAAAGGTCATAAGCATGAACATACGTAACTTATCTGAAGACGGCCGACTGAAGGACGAAACGTATATTGGCATAAGGTGTTATCACAAAGATATGCATTGTTCTGTGGCGGGGGCCATTTCTTCTTTGAATCCCATTTGCTGGCAGTATCATCCTCGTTTTTAGCCACAAGGTCGAACCTACTGTACCGGAAAATGTGTGGAACTTGACGTTTGACAAGTTTTCCTGTATACATATTGGCTGAAAAGCACTAAATATTCATGTAAACTAAATGATAGAAAGAAATTAACCAATGACTCTCATTCTGAAGTCTGATTCAAGTGAAAATATTTCTTGTTTAGCGTCACATTAACTCTATGGACGAAGCATATTACGATGTTTGATAAATTTGACTTGGTTCACCCTGGTCCGTCACACTCGCCGTAGTATAGAAGATTATCAACGCTGTCCAGTGTGACTGATAAATGTTGTGTTGTTTTAATCTGTCTTCCTTTGCATGTTTCGGTCGGAGCGACCATCTTCAGAAGGACATTATCAATACATACGGAAACTACTGTTACAGTATCATAGATATAAAATATTGTCCTTTAACAATTTCTGCGATGTGTATGAATTTATTAAAACATTTATAAATTATTTTAACTGGTCTAGAGAAGTACGTGTCTAACGGAAGCGAACCAAATTGGTTCTAGGTTTTAACAAAAAAGTTTTTAAACCATACTTGTAAATAGACTAATTATAATAATTTATAAATTATACTGATACACTTCTCTTTTGCGGCACGCGGTAGCGTAGTTGGTTGATGCACTATGCTACAAGCCAGCAGGTCACGGTTTCGATTCCCGATGAGGTGGATTTTTCAATTTGCCTAATCCTTCCAGCCGCACTATGGCCCTGGGACCAATTCAGGGTGAGCACGAGCGAAGGAAAGAAACAAACACAAAGCAAGTATAAAACAAGGAAATTCATATCATCTGAGTAATGATGATTATAATAAACGTAATAATAACGAAAATCAATGTTATGATTTCGGTCATATAATAATAAAATCAGGTAATGGTTTAGAGGGGAGAAACAAAATATATGCATTAATAAGAATACAAAACAAACAAACTCCGTGGTTTTAGTCCACAAGCGAACTATACCGACCGAGCGACCGCCGCTTGTCGGGAAATTAGTGCCAATTTTAGCGGATAGAGGGTGTTGCGTGGTCAGCTCAACGAATCCCCACGGTCGTTAATTTCGGTTTTCTATATCGTAGCCGCTATTTACTTGAAATAGCTCCTCTATTATCCTCACGAGGCTGAGTGGACCCCGTTCCAGACCCACTACTTCTCAGAAAATTTGGTGGCGCCGGGACTCGGACCCGGAACTGTAACCACTAGTCCACAGAGACGGTCAATATAAAAAGTGCAATAATAATATTTATTCATTTATTTGCATGCTTACTCCACATCCAAGACGCGAATTAGAAATGTGTACGAGCGAAATTGCAGAGAAAACAAACATACAAGCAAACAAAACAACAAAAAAAAGTCAACGTGTCTCGTTCAGACGTTTGCCATTCGCCTGGCG